CAAGCCCCCTGCGCCCTCGCTCACCGCTTCACGCGGATGATCTGGTCCCGCATGGGCTTGATGTCCTGGAAGCTCTGCTGGTTGACGAGGCTGTAGACGAGGATGAAGCCCTGGCCGTTCTTGATGTACAGGTCCCGCATGGACGCGAACTGCTCGGTGCCCGCCGTGTCCAGGATTTCCAGCACCGACGGCGACGAATCCACCTCGATCTCCTTGCGGTAGAAGTCCTCGATGGTGGGGTCGTATTTCTCGATGAAGGTACCGGTCACGAACTGCACGGTCAGGGCGGATTTGCCTACCCCGCCCGAGCCCAGCACCACCACTTTGTACTCGCGCATCGTCCCTCCGCGGCCGCCGCCGCCGCCGCCGCCGCCGCCCGCGACATAGACTGATACTGGAGAAGTAAAAAGCTATCAAATTCGCAAATCTTAGCAGCAGAGACCACGAAAGTATCTGCTTTATTCTAGTTTGGAATTTAACACAAGGATGAATAACATGCACAATTTTAGTTCAGCTATTAAAGTGCATACTCAAGTAGTTAAGGGGGCGGGTGGAGCAATGGAGAGAGAGCCTTCTCTTTGATCTCATAGGTTGCATTAAAAACCCACTACTCGTAATGAGTTTTTGAGCATCCCCTGGGCACACATAACTTGGTCCTTGCTCTTTCAAAATGAGTGGACTCAAACTGACGTACAATGTGATTATGTCTACAGTGCACTTACAACCATCTTTCAATAAAGGTCTTCAGATTTAGGCTCTAGGTAAAATAAGGCAAGAAAAAAGACACCAAAATTATCAGCAGGCTTTAACTAAAAACAACTGGATAAAACGGTAATGTGTAATTAAATGATAATTAGAAAAATCTGCCAAAACTTTGCACTAAGATATTATCACATTTCTAATGCTTGAAATTACACGGAAAAATATACTCAGTGAATTTAAGAGAAAACAAACATTTTAAATCATTTAAGTAATCAGCCATATTTCCAAAATGTATACTTTAGAAAACAATTTATATATATAAAAAGGCTTATTAACGTTAACTTTAAATTAGCTAATACTTGAGTCACACTTTTGAAGAAGCTTCTGTTTTGTTTCCAGGAACTTTTTTTTTTTTGAAGCGGTTAAGGCGGCTATATTAAAAACAAAAACAAAAAACAGCTAAGTTGCATTCTTTTCCTCCTGTGAATGGCTTATTTGCACTCCTCTATGTTAATATTCTCGAAACCCCATTTAGCTTACGATGTCTTCAAATAATTTGATAATCTATCTTTAAAGTTTTGCTCTAAATTAGAGACTTCGTTTTTGTAAAACGCCTTGGAACCATAAACCTTTAACGAGATGAGAAAGGTCTCTTTCCTCTGGACTTGACTTTACTGTATAGGTGTGTGAGCGATTTTTGCTGTCTAACATTGCCAAGGCAGACTGTTGTTGTTCAGTCTGCAAATGTCTCAACTATACCTGCACAGTTCCTTTCTTCCCAACACAAACCCATCCACTCCCTTCCCCTCTGCAAGTTTTAAACTTTGTTTCCTTGGGGGCTCTGTACAAGCAATGCTAACAACGGCCAAGAGACAAAGAGCTGTTCTGTGGGCTAACAGGATGCCAAATTTTAGTTGTGAAACAAAGCACTCGAATTTGAGATTGAGGAGGAGGAGCAGAATGACAATAGTAAAGCCTCCAGCTCGGAGCCACCCCCCAGACAGCCCCCTCCCCAGAGCCCCGCGCGGGGAGTTCTGGCCCCGGGACGGTGACTCCGGGGTGCAGCCGCCAAGCCCCCTGCGCCCTCGCTCACCGCCAAGAGGTTCTTACGTATACAATGGTTGAATTTTGGTGAAAGAATTTATGAACTCTACTTCAGCTGATCAATGATCTTTTTATATCAAGAACTG